CACATAGTAAGCACTGTTCTATGAAAAATATAATGGAAATTATATAATTTATATTTCGATCTACAAATTAGTCATACTCAATCTTCGAACCCTGCTCTAGTCCAGCTTAAGAGATCATCTCCCTCGGTTTGGAGTACCCTCGGATCATCAATTAAAATAGGGCTAATACCACTACAACACCCGAACTATAAACAAAATGCCACTTGTGTCATATTTTTTTCAATATTCCATTTGTATCCTAAACTATTATTCTATTAGTGTTGACCGATGTTGACCGTTAATTTTTAACAGAAAGTCCAGTCAGCATCTACATGGCATCTGACATGGAATTTTTAATTCCGATTTTTATTCCAGATAAAATAAAATATAAAAAATAACAAAAAATAAAAAATAAAAAAATGTGAAATTACTCTCATTTCCCATCTTTCATGCTTTCCCGTCTCCTTCTCCTATCAATCGTCCCCCCATAGATTCAGTGGCCGTCAAGAGGAGAGGCCACCCTTCTTCTCCGGCTAGAGTCTAGACTTGTCTGCCTCCCCTACAACCTACCCCATGTTAATCCTATCACCAAAACTCACCCAGTGAATTCCAATTGGAAACCCCCAATTGAAAATTTGACTCTTCACCTCCATCCATCTCACCCACTCCGCTAACGCCCATCTGCCGCCGCAGAATTCCGTCCCGGATTCCTTCAAGGAAGCTAGGTCAAACAAGAAAGCGGTACCAACAACCTAAGTGGGGAATCAAAGAAGCTAGGTCAGACAAGAAATCGGTCAGGGGAAGCAATCGGCTTTGACTAAGTTCTTTGACCATGCCGGATGGAGATCTACAAACGAGCAGGAAGTATGGAGGCAGAGACCGAGATGGTAACGCGGGCACTCCAGTTCGCCGCCGAGCCCATCGTCGCCATCAGCCTCTCTAGTGTCACGCGGCGCCATAGCCGCCGCACCTCCTTAGATCTATCGTCAGACACATCGTTTTCCCCGCCATCAATCGCCGCTCTAAAACTTCAGTGTCGAGGAAGGAGAAGAAGGAAGATTTTGCAGCATTGGGGCACCTGCCGTCTCCAACGACTTAGTAGAAGAAGCTTTTGGGATCTTCGACGACAGCAGAAGAGAGGGTGAATCGCAGAGGGGAGGGCGGAGCGGCGAAGCAAAGACCATTAATTATTTTTTATATTTGTTTTCTAATGTTTTAGCTTTTATTGTAATTTAATTTAATTTTTTATTGAATAATGACATGTCAATGATGTGGCGTCTACATGGATGCCACGTTTTTGCCACATCAACAAAAGTCAATATTGCTTTGACTGCCGTCCAGTCAACCGTTATCTTTAACGGCCAACGAAATTGTCAGGATACAAATGGCACCAAAGAATCATACGATGGGATACAAATGGAATATTAAAAAGAATAGGACACAAGTGGCATTTTGTTCATAGTTCGGGTGTTGTAGTGGTATTAGCCCATTAAAATATTGTCTTCTTGATAGGCTTCATCTAATGCTCCTTCTCATTCTCCTTCTCCTTCCGTATTAGATGGCATCGCGAACAAATTTCTTGGTCGCGTTTCAACCAAAATTTCCCAATTTGGATCTCTTAAAGATTGCACATAATAAACTTGAATTGCTTGACTAGCCAGAACAAATGGCTCATCTGTTCTAAGCCTTCGCGTTGTGTTGATGGTAATAGTGCCATGTCCATCTTTCCTGTAACCAACCCCTTCGCGAGCGGTGTCATACCACTCACACTGAAATAATACAACACGAAGCCCTTCCTTATAACAAAGCTCGATGATATCGGTGAGAACGCCATAGTAATGAATTCCACCATCGTTCGCCCCTCTCACCATCACACCACTGTTTTGACTTCTTTTGGTTAACTCGCGAGAACGAGTGTGAAATCTGAATCCAGTGATACAATATCCTGAGTAGTGCAGGACTCGTTTGTCTGGCTCTCGAGCTAAGGATAACAAAGAAGGATTCAAACTTGGCACTTTATCATTGTGCATTCGTGTAATCTGCAAATAATTGCAAGGATAAACTTAAAATTAGCTTGCGATAATTTTTAAATATGAAAATTCTTTATTATATATGACATGTATGTACCTCTAATGAGAACCACATAGCAAATTCTTGCTTATGCACTGCTTCAACCATACAAACACCTCGATTGCTTAGTTGTTCCTTGTGAGTTCTGCAATTAATATAATTAAAATAAATTATACTCTAGTATACAATAAATAAATAAGTATTGGTATATATGTATATGTACCTTATAAAATCTTGCACTTCATCACAGTTTTGTAGGACATAAGAAGCTGCCGCCTTCCACAAATCAGTATTGAAGTCTCTCATGTCGTCCTTCACACCAATGACACGACTGACACCCGGAACAACTGATAAGTCATGAGATGGCTGCGACGACGATGAAGATTTATCTACATTTCTCTCTGGCCGATCAAATATAGTATCCATTTCGGTCAAATATTGCGAGCAAAATGTGACACATTCATCAACAATATAAGCTTCGGTGATTGATCACTCTGGACGTGCCTTGTTACGAACGTAACCTTTTAACTTCTTCAAATACCTAAATTGTTTAGAAATTTTCAAATTAACTACACAAAGTTTCCAAAATGTCAGTATATATAATAATTTTAGTGTAGTTAATAGTTATATATGTAGCATACCTTTCAATAGGATACATCCATCGATACTGAACTGGACTAACAACTTTGGCCTCCCAAGGCAGATGGATGGGCAGGTGGATCATTATATCGAATAAGGTAGGAGGAAAAATACGTTCCAACTTACATAGGACTATGGCAATTTGAGACTCCAAGTAATTCAAATCTTCCACGTTTAGCTCCTTGGAAAATTTGCCAAGCTCAATCCTTGGAACATATGTCCATGTAACATTCCTTGCATCCTTTATTCAACCTCAAATGTGAGGTGTTCCCTGCGTAGGAAGGGCATGACAATTTTCCTTTTGTACTCCAACCAGAAAGGAGACCATATGCAGGAAAATCATTGATAGTCCACAACAATGCAGCTTTCATGTCGAAATTCACTTGCTTGAATGCATCACAAGTCGTTATTCCCTCACTCCACGATGACTTTAGATCATCAATAGTGGTCGCAGGTAGACATCAATATTGTTTCCTGGACTTTTCGGACCAGGAATGAGTAATGTCAATAATAGATATGGACTCTTCATGCATAACCATGGTGGGAGATTATACGGGAACAGAATTACCGGCCATGTACTATGCTTGTTATTCATGTTGCCAAATGGATTGAAGCCATCCGTTGCTAATCCCAATCGGATGTTGCGAGGGTCGGAACCAAAAGTTGCATCATACTGGTCCAAAACTCTCCAAGCTGCAGTGTCAGCAGGGTGCCTTAATTTGCCATCTCTGACACAGTCATTTTCACATGCATCTATTTCTTCATAATTTAGCCCAAGACCACTCAACATCTTTTTTGCTTGATAGTAATTCTTCGGCATTGTAGACTGTGCCATAGGGAAAGTAGATCGAAGAAACTTCAATAATTGAGTAAAAGAGGTATTACTCCAAGAATTGAACCACTTCAAATTCATCATCTTCACTAGGCATGACAGACTGGATAAATTTTCATCACAACCTTCATACAATGGCGTCTGAGAATCTCTGACCAGTTTGAAAAACTGCTCTGCCTCTACATTGGGATTCTCGGGGTCAGGATCCAAATGCGGTCTCAAATCATTCATTAACCCCGGTATGTCATCTACATCCATCTCATTACCATCGTCTACCGCATCCTCTGCATCCTCCTCTTCAGAATAATCATCATCTGATTTCTCTCCATGGTAAATCCATTTAGTGTGATCACGTGACATTTCTCGTCGTAATAGATGTAGCTCAACTTCTCGTTTTTCCCTTCTTATAACATTTCGACAGTCCACGCAAGGACACTGTATTTTGTTGTCTTCGTCTTGAATATTGGAGTATGCGAATGCGAAAGAGGATTGTGGGGACTTCAAGTCTGTCGATGATGGAAGATTGGGGGGCGCAGAGGATACGACGACGTTATTTCCAGTTCCTGCGGCGATTGGTGAACTGGGGTGCGCGAAGGCGACGTCACAGCTGCCGTCGATTGCTCTGATCGAGAGAGATGAATGAGTCTGGGTTTCTCGGCGGATTGCGAATCGAGAGAGATGAATGAGGGAAGAGAGGCGATCTTTATTCGCCGGAATTTGGGTTCCTTCGCCTTTCTTAGTCGACAGAATATAGGTTTGTTTGCTTTTGTCTTTCGATTGGATGTGTACAAGCAAATATATTTATATGCATAGATGTGGATTTGAATGCTGCGGTTTGATTTCCTCAATTGCAGGTGTAAATCGTACATGCATGCACCCAGAAAGCATCTTAGAACTCTCTGAGATTGGGACTGAATCGGAATTCCAGGTAATTAGTTCGTTCTTTGCACAATGGGGTCTGTTCTAAGTTAGTTCAGTGGATTTTACTTTGATTTGGTCAATGAATGTGGGTTGTTCATCCATGGTGCAATTCTTGTTCATCCATGGGGTCTGTTTTTGGTTCGTTTTCTTTGCAATTTGGTTCATTGTTCATTCATGTAATTAGTTCTGTTCAATCCCCCCTAATTTGTCAATTTCATGTAATTAAACGTTAATTGCAATAAACGAATTAATGCGTTTAATGAGTAAAACGACAGAGAGGGATCTCTGGAACGAGATTTCCTTAGAAAAGGTAAAGAACTATAAACATGCTCTGCCTCTTCGTTAGCCTAAAAAAAAGGCGGAATGTTTTTCCTTGTTTCCCACCACAACACATTAACTACACAAAACACGCTTCATTAATAATCCCTAGTATCCATAAACACGCTTCAGTAGGCAGAGCCAAATAAAGGAACCCAAAAGCCATATTCTTCTTCATCTGCCATTCCCTCTTCTCTGCCATTACTCTCCTCCCTCTAACGAATTCTGCTTCTCACTAGATGGCAAAGCAAAAGAAACGCCTCCGTTCTCAAAGCCAGAGGGAAGAATCTGCACTCGTTCACCTGTGCAGAGAAACTCTCCCTCTCCGCCTCTTGTTTCAGAGAATCAGGAAGAAGGACAAGGTGACAGGAACACCAATACGCTTGTTCCTATCACTGAAACTCCGAGAATGGAGAAAAGGTCCCATGTTACTGAATTGGAAGGAGAAAAAGAGCATGTTGATTCGACTGCTCTACATTCAGCTGCGGACCTGTCATCAGAGGGTGGAAGTTCGAATGGTTAGTTTCATTGTGTGGTTTTTTTTATTTCGTATGGCTTACTTCTGTCTTTGCATTGTAGTTGACTATAAGTTCTGACCTTGTGATAGGGACGACCAAAAAAAGAAAAGGAAGAGGACCAGGAAAGGGTGTAAAGCCTGGACACAACCTGTCCCTGGAATTTCACGATAACAGGTATGTAATAATGTTCCTTGGAATATTTTGCACAACATGTCCCTGGAACTTTTTGCACTCAGTGTCTCAAATCTTTCACGATAACCCGTACCTGTACTCAGTTTACTTAGTTTGATACTTATAAATAAACTGTGCAGGATAATTACCACTCAAGCAGCCCGTGAAATTTCAGCTATCTTCAAAAGGAGCATCAATGGGCCTTGGATTACTTTCTCAGAGTATCCTGCATCAGAACTCGAGACTGTGATAGCTCGTTTCAAGGACTCATGATTCACTTACACTGGGTCAAAAGAGACTTTCAACGATATGGTCAGAGACCACGTGAAGAGAAACTTTCCCCGGTGGATGTATGGTCTCCGAGACCAGATTTTTAAGAAGTATAAGGATCTGAATCAGAGAATGAACCATCCACCACCGCAAATTAGTCCATCAATTTGGAGGGAGATGCTTCAGAAATGGACTAACCCGAATTGGGTGGTAAGTTAAGTGGGTGTATGCTTTGGTGTTTGTCTTTCATCCTAATCTGTTTTCAATGGTGAACTGATTGTTTTTTGTTTCGAATTCAATAAAATGAGTGAAGAATATAGGGAATCGGGAGAAGAGTGAGCTTGCAGCCACTGGCGGTTCAGCACTGTTGGCCAAGTACAGACATGAAGAAGTAAGTTGTTGCACTATTGCTAATGTTTATGTTAGACTACAAGTGTACTCATTTTACATGTGAATGCAATTTTTATTTTTAATTGATTGGTAGATAAAAAAAAACTGGAAAAGAACCTGATCCGATCGAAATGTTTAGACGTTTCCATGTGAAGAAGGACAAGAACTGGGTTTCGTCAAAAGAAAAAACCCTGCATGTAAGTTCAATAATGTTTACAGAGTATTAGGCTGTTGTTTGTACTCGGTTTTGTTGTCTTTTTTTATTGATATTGATGTTGTTTACAGAGTATTAGGCTGCTGTTTAATTTGTACTCGTTTTTGTTGTTTTTATATTGATATTGATGTTGTTTACTCCATGATTAGGATGGAACGATACAAGCAGAGGCTGAAAAGGTATCCCAAGGGGAAGAACCAAACAAATTTGCCATCTATCAAGAAGTGATCGGACCACAACGCCCAAAGCGTGTTATAGGGATGGGCCATGGGGTGAGCTCGGTTGATGTCTTCGGTCCCACATCGAGTCAAGGTAGTCAGGGTTGCAGCAAGCGTTGTTAGGAGGATCGAACCAAAGAAAGGGAAAAAAATGATGAGAAAATGAAGAAGTTGGAGGATGAGATCGTAGATGTGAGGAATGCAGTCCCTCACATTGTTGAATCTGTCTTGCAGAGACTTGGAGTGCGGCTGCCCGAGTCATTCGACATGGTATGTATTTTGATGCCATGTTTTATTTCTTACTCATTACATAACTTTCGAAGCTATGGCTAATTTATTTGTTATATTCTATGTAGGATCTAAACAGTGAAGCAAATGGGGAACAAGGTCGAGTTGGGGAAACTCACGGTAACGATGTGGCCAACGACGAGTCCGATGAGGAGACTGCCGAGGAGACTACTGCTGATGCATGAATTTCTTTTTAATACTATCGTAGGATTCTAAGTATCGCTGGACTTTGGGATATTTTGTGTCATTTTCGAAGGATATTTTGTCTTTTGAAGTTTGGATGTTTGGTCGTATCTGATGACTACTTGTTAGACAGTTTGAAAGTTAATTTTGGAATATGCATAACTTTGTTTGGATGATTTGTTTGTGTTGTCTTCACTAGAAGTATAATGGCGTCACAAATGAAATTTGATCAAGCAATTAGCAACAAATGTCGCCGTCGTTAATAGATGTAATTGCACAATTGACAATAATTAAGCGTCATTATTAAATGTAGTTTCTTCGACGACATGTTGGAAAAGATAATTTTTGGTGATAATTAGCTGTCCTCAGTAAATATTATTTTTCCAATGACACGTTGGAAAAGATTTTTTCGGACGATAAACATATGTCCTCAGTAATATAACTATAACCAACAACAAGCGGGAAAAGATTTTTTTAATGATGAATAGGTGTCATCGTAAATAAAAATTTATCCAACGATACGTCGGAAAAGATTAATTCTATGATGAATAGTTTTCATCGTAAATAAAAATTTATCCAACGACACGTTGGAAAAGATTTTATTTGCGGTGAATAGTTGTCCTCGGAAATAATAATTCTTCCGACGACACATCAGAAAAAACATAGTTTTAACGACAATTTGTCGACATCAGTAAAATTTATATTTTTGACTAAGCGTCGGTAATAATATATTACTGACGCATACACATCCTCAGAAATGTATGTACACCGTATAAAAAAAAAAAGTTCGGCCTCAAATTCTGGTCACAAATAGTTATTTTCGATGAATTATGGACGTTAGTATAAATAGTATTTATGACGTCTCGTCAGAAAAATGCTTTACCTACAAACATAATGCGCCACAAATAAATTAAGCTGTCGTAAAAAAAAACTTCGTCAAATTCATCCGTCATGAGTGATTTCTTTTGTGACGTCATTTATTTTATTATTAACGTATTCATGTCGTCAATAATATGGTAAATTTGACGACTTGTCAATAATATTTTTATTAGCGACGGGACAATTACTGAGGACATTTGGCGACGAAATGTCGTCGTAAAAGATATTTCCGACGAAATTTTATCAATTATGACGAAAATCGTGTCGTCGGTAATGACTTTCTTTTTTTGTAGTGACCATTGAGGTTGTCTAAGGGAGGTCCTATGCTATCTCATCTTTTCTTTGCAGATGATCTTATCCTTTTTACAGAAGAAGAAGGTGCTCAGGTTCGGATCATCAAGCAATGTCTGGATGAGTTTTGTGGGAGCTCCGGCCAGCGAGTTAATTATAGAAAATCAGCTATCTTTGTCTCGGCTAACAATGATAGAAGGGTGGCGAGGAGACTGGCACATCGAGCAGAGATTCCCCTCACGGTCGACATTGGGCGCTACCTGGGCGTGATGGCCATCCATGGCAAGGTGACTAAAACTAGATATCAGGACCTCATGCTCCGGATTTAGAGGAAACTTGCCCCTTGGAAGACTAAACACTTCTCTCTGGCAGCTAGGATCATAGTGGTTAAGTCCATTTCGGAATCCATCCCTATTTATCTTATGCAAAGTTCAACACCTCTCTCTGGCAGCTAGGATCATAGTGGCAGATTTTGTTGATGAGGAAGGAAACTGGAAGACTGCAAAGTTCAAAAACATTCTTCCACTGGAGATTCAAAGGTAGATTACCTCACACGCTGTTGACCACTTGACGCCGGTGGAAGACACCCTGTTCTGGCAGGTGACTTTGGATGGGAGGTTTTCAACCAATAGTGCCTACCAGATGCAGCTAACCTCTTCTTTCGACGTAAATCAACAACTTTGGAAGACGATATGGAGGTTGCCGATGATAGAACGTGTGAGATGTTTCACCTGGTTGATTGCGCAAGGGAAGGTAAGCTCTAATGAATAAAGGGAGAGGCGACACTTGACTCATGATGCTTCATGCTATAGATGTGATACGCATACAGAAAGTATCAGCCACATCTTTAGAGAATGCCCGCCAGCAGCTTACTTTTGGAGCCGCACAATCAGAGGAGAGTCTCAAGCAGAGTTCTACGGCTGCAACTGGGACTTGTGTTTTAAGAATAATGTTACTTGCGTGGAGCTTTCTCCCACAAGGCTGCCCTGGAATGCTTTCTTTTGCATTGCGCTGTGGTGCATCTGGAAGAATAGAAATAAAGGGGGTTCCATGGGGAAAGCAAGACATTGTCGGCACCACCCCTCACTCAAGCTATAATGATCAAAGCCGAGATGTGGTACCAAGCCTGGAACTCCCCAAGCTCGATTGCTGGACGGAACAATCTCCTTCCCAACCGCATTGATGCTCAAGTTGGTTGGAAGGTGCCACCAGCAGGATGGCAGAAGATGAATGTAGATGGTGTTGCGGACCCGAGCCACGATGCTGCTAGTGCAGGGGGCGCTACGAGATGACAACAAAGAGTGGGTGCGCGGTTTTGTCTCAAGCTTGGGTTCTTGTTCTGCTACTATGGCGGAGCTCTGGGCTATCTATCAAGTTCTCAGATTATCTTGGAATACAGGATGTCGAGCTTTGAACTTGGAAACTAACTCTCAATTGGCCATCTAACTTGTGAACAACAGGACAGACCCTCTCCATCCCTATGCTGCTCTTTTAACGGCTATTCGGCGCAAGATTGCACCAGATTGGGTGGTGAATCTAGTACATACTTACCGTGAAGGGAATAGAGTCACGGACTAGCTCTCTAAGCACAGTCTTGCCTATCCTTACAACATGTATGAACTAGAAGCACCGCCGAGTTAGCTGCAGACCCTTCTTCTGGACGATCAGTGAGGCATCGCCTTCTCTAGAAGAGTGGTGGACTCGACCCCTTCCAGCTCCTCTTAGTCTTTGTACTTTTCTTTTTTTTGCCTTGCGCCTCCCTCAATGCAAAAAAAAAAAAAAATGAAACCATTAGTAATCTAATGAAAATATCATCGATCTAAGGATGAAAGGATCGTGCGGCTATGATAGATACATTTTTGTCAATTTTATGAATTTTGTTGCTTCTCTAAAATGACAGAAGTTGGATTGCCAGAAGATGATCGAGGCAAAGAGAGAGGAGGAGAAGCTAGAGATTTTAACTCAAGGATCAATTTTTCTCACTGAATTTCTCTCACTTGAATGACAACAAAAACGAATTTCTTCTGGGGATTTTTGCTTCCCCATTTACAGCCCTAAATCCCCCCTTCTCTTGATCTGGCGGCCGATATTCATCAGGGGCAAAATGGAGATGAGCCGCACTGGATCCACTCACTCCGCACTCCATGTGTGATGACATGCGATCGTTGGGTTTGAGAGGGGAAGGTTTTCCGGAGGCAAATTAGCCACTTTCCCCGCTCAAAAATCGTTCTCCTACCATCATCCCTCTTCCCGTTCCTGCGTCTGCTACCAAAATCCCTAAGAAAAAGAAGAAAAAACCCCTTGCCTCTCTGCCGCAGATACCAATCGCTTACCATCATCCCTCTTCCCTTTCCTCTGGCTGCTACCAAAAACCCTAAGAAGAAGAAGAAAAAAACCCCTTGCCTCCGCCATAGATACCGTTTGTCTCCGCCGCAAATACTGTTTGTCTCCGCAGATACCATTGTTGGCGGTTTCCTTTTCCCTGCATCCATCTCACGTACTGTCTCTGTTGGTTTCGAAGGCTGGTTCGTTGAGAGTGTAGGTAAATCCGCTCAGCTCTATTTCCTCTACTCCTTTATTTCGGATTCTATTCATTTGAAATTCTGCTCGGTTGAGTTTGCATTGACTGGGTTCAACTGGTCGTCATGCTCTAATACGGCGGTTGAAAACAGAACAGGATCAAGTGAAAGGTGAGGTTTTAGTATGTACAAGTTTTCATTATCCGACTGGCACGTTGGGTTCGGATAATGCAGTATTTCTTGTTTTCCTTGTTTGTTGCATGTATAATGCCGTGGTACTTTAAATTGGTATCACTGTGGTAGTGGTATTGGTACAAACTCTAGTGGTAGTGGTACCAATCACAGTAGTCGTACATGTACCAGTACAGCATGTGATTCTGGTACTAGTAATTCTAGTTGTACATGTAAAAGTACCACTATATCTGGTACCTCGTTTGAATGATTCATCTAGTTGGTATTGTAATGTTTAATCAATATGTCTAACAATTGTAGGTTGGTTATTTTGGTACCAGGAATGGCGAGAACAAAGACTTCATGCGTCGTGTCGACGACAAAAGACCTACTGGTAGAAGGAGACCATAGAGGAAAACAACCCGTTACGTACGACTCTCGGCAGGTTGTGATCCGTGAAGGGGAGTCATCTAAATCGGGTTCGGGTCGAAGTAAGAAACGACAACGGGATGGGGAAACGAAGAGTCCTTGCGAGAAGACGAAGAAGAAAAAACAGAAAGGTGGAACAAGTGCAAGCGGGGTCGGGAAGAAGTGCTGCCTGAATTCCGTCATTGAGATACTGGACAGTAGTATTACACGGGCGCTGGAGGCTATTCTGAAGAAGTTGGGTTTTGGATGTCTGCTCAATGAAGATGAAGCGATTTGATATCACATTGCTGGGGTGGATGACTAGAGTTTTTGACGTGGATTCAATGTCCATAGCAATGGAGGATGGGGGCAGCTGAATTTCACTATGGATTATGTACAGAGGGTATATGGGCTTCCACGTGGTCCAAAGATTGTTCCTGAGATTGATCCACGGCAAATGAAGGAGCTGCGAGATTCCCTACACGGCAAGGATGATGAACCAGCAAATTCGAAAAAGATTTGGAGTTGAGGATAAACTTGGTACGGTGGAGGATGAAAAGTTGTGGATCCTGCTTTTTGTACCCACTGCCTTTGGTTACTTATTCACTCCCAGCACAGCAAACGTTGGTTATTCGTTGGTGTTAGAGTTTTTGAAGTATGATGACTTCTCACAATTTGCTGAGTACGACTGGTGCTATTATTTGTGGGATTGCATGAGGTCGGCCTTCATTCTTAATAAGAACAGGAGCTACACTAATGGCGATCTGCACCTGCTGTTGGTGTGGTTCCTTGATAGGACTATAGACAACTTAGAGCTCCCCACCGATATCCCCTCATGCAAATTATGGAACACCTCTGCCTGTAAGATACGAAGCAAAACATTGTTGCGGAAGTATAAGATGTTTGCTGCTGTTCCATTCATTCCTCTCCCTCCTACGCCTACAC